TCGACATTCTAGAGATAAAATAATCTTTTTTTGTATGAAATCCAGGATCACGCGGCAAATTACGCAATAAAATGGGATGTTTTGATTGGTCAATTTGGATAACGCGACGCGCTCAGTGGGAACGCACCCTGAAGGTTTTCGCACAGGTATTTCACTGTATTTCATTGTATTTCATTGTATTTCACTGGTCTAGATATATTTTGTCTATGGGCCAAACTTTCACAGATATTTACAATCTATATATTGGATTTAACATGGATGCAATAATGCTCACGTGTGTCAGTCATTGATATTGTTTTATATGTATATTTTTGTCTATTTGTAAAATTGTTACATATATACATATGATATATAAGTGAAACAGATCAGTTTAAGAGAAAGTTTATAATTTATGATTAAGATGCAGTTAACGTACAGTCTTGATGCTTTACATACATATTTTATTAATTCATAATGTATTAATTTGAATTAATAGTTCCTTTTATTATTAAGAGAGAATAATGGAAGAGGGTGCAATGTTATGGATGCTTATTCTTGTTATGCTAATTGGTTCTTGTTTGGCCGGATCATTACCATTAGTCATAAGTTTGTCAGAAGTAAGATAATTTTTTAGAATAGATATAAGAATGATGTTTGTATATGATATTCTGAATATATCAAATACAAAGCTTGCCATATGGCTATATACGATATTTATTTTCTTTTAGGACAAATTAAAATTAGTATCGGTATTAGGAGCAGGTCTTCTTGTTGGAACTGCATTAGCAGTAATTATACCCGAAGGTATAAGAGCTTTATTTACTGGCGAAATTACTAATGAAAAACAGACACATGGTTTGTAATTTATTATTATATTTATTATTAATACTTTCTTAAAATCAATATCTTTAAGTAATGTTTTTGTTTTTATAGGTGACTTACATTCTTTAATTGGAATTAGTTTAGTACTCGGTTTTGTATTTATGCTTTTGATTGATCAATGTTCAGCAAGAAAAAGTGATGGAAGGCAAAAAAGTGTTACAGCAACTTTAGGTCTTGTAGTTCATGCAGCAGTTGATGGAGTTGCATTAGGAGCTGCTGCTACTACGTCTCAAGCTGATGTCGAAGTCATAGTTTTTTTAGCAATAATGTTGCATAAAGTAAAAATTTTAATTATATTGTCTTTTAACAATTAATAAGAATTTAATTTAGAATGAAATTGTATATTAATATTAGTATAAATAAAATTATATCATTTTAACATTTATATTTAAAAATTAAATAATTTTTTTTAGGCACCAGCTGCATTTGGACTTGTGTCATTTCTTCTTCATGAAGGTGTAGATAAAAAGAGGATAAGCAGGCATTTATTAATTTTTTCTCTTGCGGCACCATGTCTTGCACTTATAACATATTTTGGGATTGGAAAAGTGAGTAATGCAAAATATATATATTTTTATAAGAGATATTTGAATTTTATACATGTAATAACACCAGAAACAGTTTAAAATATTGTATAAGAATATGATAAATTGTGCATTTCAACAAATATTGAGCTAACATTTGAATATTGATTAATTTTTTCCAGCTTGTTTCTTATGCTAAGATCTTTAAAAAACTTTTGGACAAGTAAAATTATAATTCTGTTAAATACAGATGTTAAAGCAATTATAAAATTATAGGGTTTTGTTGATAGGATAATATTAATAATAATGTTAATCTAAGAATTAATTTGTATTTATATTTATCAAAATAATAATTTTGATAAATATTAATATTTATCAAAGTAATGATTTAGACTTAATAAATTAAGAATTAATACATTGACAATAAAGGGCAAATGAGCCAAAAGCTGGATATTAGTAACCAATAACACTTATATTTCCAAAAAATCCAACTAATTTGATTTAGATTTAATTCAAATATTTGCAGTTTTCATCAGAATAAAAACTTTATTGCATAACATATTAATATAATATGATTTTCGTTTTATGATAATCATTTATATTCCGAAAGATAATGTTATTTTTCTATTGTTATTTTATGTTCTTTTCTTTTAAGCAAGTTTTTGTATATAACAAAAATTAAAAATATAGAGCAACTTTTGATATATTTGTAATATATCAAATGCTTAATATATCAAATACTTTCAATTTTTGTTGAAAAGTCAAATACATTTAGAGTTTTATAAGAAAAAAATTTTTGAGAATGTTTTTTAATGCTTTTCTTAATGTAGTTATGATAAATATATTTATTATGTTTATTATAAACTATGTAATAAATATTTAATAAGTGTGTTTAAATGAATCTTGTGTCTGCACATAAGAGCATATTAAGTAATTTTTTATGCATATTTGTTGAATTTTATAATAACAATATGCAATCTTATTACATATTATGGGGTATATTTAAAAAATAAGAGCCAGTCAATTATTAGAAAAAATTAATCAAAATAAAAAAGTATTATTAGTAGAAAAATATATATTTATGTTACTTTTTATAATATAGGTATTGATTTTTCTAACTTAAATATTGTTTGTATCTAATTGTAAGCACTAACTTTTTGGTGCTTTTTATATAGAAATCTGCTGCTTGAGAATTCAACCAATATCAGCACTATTGCTTTCAATTTCTCATATGAAAGTCAAGTTATCAAGTTATCAAGCTATTTTTTGAGATAAAAAAACTTAAAAACTTTGGAATATATGGATTGTATAGACTGTATAGATAGTGGCTTGAAGTTTTTTAAAATATTGAATTTTTTGCATTGTGTAATGATATGGATAGTAATGTGTTACGAGCATTATAAAAGAAAATATTTTTAACACCCCATATTTTCCTTCATCCAAAGAAATTCTTAGTTCACTCAATAGTTCGAGAAGAATAAGAAGTTGAAAGTAGTAGTATTGAACTGGTTAATTCCCACAGTGCATATAAGACAGCTGGTAGCTTAAGCATTTGAGAAAAGCGTTAGGATTATGGAATATGTAGAAAGATAAAGCAGTTATATAGATTTTTTCTTAATCTGTTTACTTAATTAACAAATGAGAAAAGTTAACTCGGTCAAGGAACGAGCAAGGTAAAACATGACATAAAATCACAGAGAAATAATATTAAAAAATAAGACGTTTTGGACTGCACAGAGTCTTTTTCTGAGTTAAAAAGAAAAGGTTGTCACATAAAGTTAGAACAAATTAAATAAATTAGTAAAAAAACATAAAAAATTTCTTTCTGTCAACTACTAATTAAAATATGAGAAAATTAAAAGGCCTAAAACAGTGAACGCTATAAGCTTTTGTGTCGCATATGATATCTCCATAGTCATTAAATCGCATACAAAATATCGGTGCACATTGTACCTTCGCTATGTGAATCATTTTCAATTTAATGACGCGCTTGATAGTTGTTAGTGATCCAAATTCAAAATTTCTCAAAGTTAGAATTAAATAAATAAGTAAGTAAAAACAGATTGTGTAAACAGATTTTGTATTTATTATCCTTGAAAAAACTCAAGCAATATATTATGTGTGTCTTCCGTTATCGAAGCACAGTCGTCTTGACGAAGGTCTCGACAAGTAGGCAAGTTAAAACTGTCATTGTAATAGTTTTGTCATTAATCTATCGCACCATCGAATAATCACCGATAGTTTCTGTGAATTATAAGAATTTTTGACTTGAGTATTAGTATCAGTTTTTTTGTTACATTATCCGTACCATCTATAGAAATCTTGAACAATTACAGACAGCAAACAGCTCTTGGCTAATAGCTACTTGTTGATAAAATGGTCACTAATTGAGAAAGATATATAAGAACAAGATTACTTAATGGAAAAATTTTAAATTTGAATCACCAATAACTATCAAGCGCGTCAATCTATTAAATTGAAAATGATTCACATAGTGAAGATACAATGTGCGCCGATATTTTGTATGCGATTTAATGACTACGGAGATATTACATGCGATAAAATCTTATTTAGCATTTGTTTTCATTGTTTTAGGCCTTTCAGTTTTCCCATATTTTAATTAGTAGTTGACAGAAAGTTTTTTTATTATTTCTCTGTGATTATATGTCACGTTTTACCTTGTTCGTTTCTTGGCCGAGTTAACTTTTCTCATTTGTTATTTAAACACGATCTTGTGATTATATAGTGATCTATCACGACTTTGTAGTAGATTTAATTTTATTTTTTTAATTGATTGGTTCTTATTTTCGGAATATATCTCGTATATTTAGGAAATTTATTTTAAATTAATTTAGAAATATTTGATATGCAGTTATATGTATAATATATGTTTTTATTTTTCAAATTTGTAATATTCAAAAAAATTACTTTTTATTTATAGAATATAAATTTTACATATTTATATTATGCAATGAGGGACAAAAGTTCTGGAACGATCAATTATTTCAGAAAGTATTGGTTTTATGGA